TAATATTTTTGAAAAAAAAATTATAAGCTAAAAGAGAAAAAAGTTTTTCTTTTATAAAATAAATTCCAAAAATTCCGGCATGTAAAATTGCAATTTTTTTTTAAAAAAAAATTTTCGTTATACAAAAATTACAATTTTTTTTAAAAAACATTTGTCATGAAATTTAACACGCAAAAATTAATGCAAAATCTGTCATAATTATAATGAGTTACAGCAAAAAAATTGTCATAGCTTATTATAATTATGTCAAATTATGACAGCATATTTACTTCAATTAGCAATTAATTCGGGCATTAAATAATATTTATTACTTTTTTAATACTATTTAAGTTCAAAAATATTACAGTCAAACCTCCATATGCACTCTTTAGACCGACTATAAGTGTGTATTTGTAGAAGGTGTACATTTATAGAATGCAATTATAGAAGGTATGTATTTATAAAGTTTGTTTGTATAAAATATAAACAAGTTCGATCATTTAACTTCCCATGAAATACTTTAAAAAAAAAAATTACAATAAAATTTAGGCTTTAACTGAGGTATAAATTTGACTTGGGCAAGTAATATAAATATATAAATTAATTTTTTATATCTTTGGACTTTGGTCTTAATTGACTATTAGTTGTTTGATTACCAACACTAACCAGAACCTGACTAGAGAGTTGACATTAACCAGAACTTGACCAAAGAACTAGTTAAATGAAGTCATTGGCTTGGAAGATTTTTTAAGGCTTGGAAATTTTCTGCAATTAAATAGTTTTCTTTATTAAATTCTTTAAAATTGCAAAATTTGTTAATGTATTATTTAAGAATATTTTAGCTATACAACTTAATAGAAAGATAACTAGTTAAAACTAAGAGCTGAGATATGGTAAAATTCAAAAGATTTACTATGTTGAATAGCACAAATCGAATTCCATTCAAACTGCCATTCAACACTATCACATGACTTCAAGAACATGAATGTCTATGAAATTATGTGATAGTGTTGAATAACAATTTGAATAGCAGTTTGAATGATATTTGAATCATGCCATTCAATAGAGCGAATCTTTTAAATTTTACCAGTGGAAAGGGCTTTGTATAAAGAAAATATCAAAAAAGAATGTAAGTAATTACTAACAGGAAGTATAAGGGCTTGCATTTTGGTAAACCACAGATCACATAAGCAAGTGCGAAGTAAATCAAACCGTAATTAATTATTTATTATTAAAGATTTCACAAGTTTTTTTTTAATAATGCAAAAATTAATCTCATTACTTTTTAAATATAACTAAAAGTACAATTTTTAAAAACATACATAATTTTTTTATATCATCTTTTTATTAATTGATAGCTTTTATTATGCTCTTCTTGTTAATAACCTCAGTTTTACAAATTTAATATCTTTAAAATTAGTCAAAGCTCATTTATATTGTTAAAGAATTTATGACTTATAATAGAATAAATCCATTATATTAAATTATACTAGTTTAAGAAAAACTGTACGAAAATTGTTATTCGCAATAGTTTCAGATTTTCATAAAAAATTTTTATACGATTCTAACTAATGTTAGTTTGATGATCAAAGACATTTACTAATTTCCCAAGTTTCAATTAAAATTCACAACAACAATCGCTTTTTTTTTTAAGTCACATTTATTACAAAAATTCATCTAAGAAATCGCTTTTTATGTCTAATAAAAAAAATTTTGTGCAAAATTTTAGTATATTGTTACAACTAACTCTAATCTAGTGATTGGACACAGGTAGATGCAAACTGAGTCCAATAGAAAAATATGGACTATAAGGATATTAGGGATATTAAATGGTTCATGGTAAACTAGTTTGGGCCAGGTCAAACTTGGACTTTTTAGGGACTAGTAAGACTAGTTTAAAACTAGTCCTATAATCTTGTGATCTCAAGGTCGTTTAATTGGCTAATTTATATCGATCTAAATGCAATTATAATACTGGAATGAATTCAATGTAATTACAATTAAAACACAATACTTGTTCACTATTGTTCTGTACATTTAAACCACTAGAGTAGGACCAGTTTTTATCTATTTTTTAATAGGGAGTGAACTCGTTTTCAACTAGTTCTAGACCAGACTTTTGGGAGAACGGACCGGGACTGAACCAGACGCACCACTTAACATCTCTAAAGGATATAGTCCATAAATGTCCATGTCCAATGGTCCATGTCTATATTTTTGCTAACACTGATTTGAAATAAATTGTCATAAAATCAAATAACAATCGTAATAAAGTAATAGTGACAACTTGACAATTAAATCTTCACCAGATCTAATAAAAGTTGTAATAAGATAGTCATAATATAGTAGCAACTTAATTTTTTAAAATCATTAAGGAATCTTAACAAAATCATTACTAGATTTTTGTGTAGCTATAGAAAGATCATCGTAGTATCGTAGCAATTTAATTTATCAAAATTGTTATAGAATCTTAACAAAATCGGTACTAGATTTTTGTGTAGCTGTATTAAGGTTATCATAATATCATAATGATTTTATTATCAAAATCATTATGGAATCTTAACAAAATTATTACTAGATTTTTGTGTAGCTGTAGAAAGATCATCGTAATATCATAGCAATTTAATTTTTTAAAATCATTATGGAATCTTAACAAAATTGTTACTAGATTTTTGCATAGTTGTATTAAAGTCGTCGTAATATCATAACAATTTTATTATCAAAATTGGTATTGAATCTTAATAAAATCGTTACTAGATTTTTGTGTAGTTGTATTAAGGTTGTCATAATATCATAACGATTTTATTATCAAAATCATTATGGAATCTTAACAAAATCTTTACTAGATTTTTGTGCTATAGTTACGATGTAACAGCTATGAGATAAAAATATCATTGCATTATAAATCACCACAAAATTTTTTCTAAATTGTAGTTATATTGTAATAACATCGTCACTATATCGTAACAACATCGTCAAAAATTTACAAGTTTCTGTAAAGTAGCTTCATGATTATATGATTACTTTGTTGGAAGATGAAAAACTTAACTCTGAAATGAATAAGATTAAAAAAAAAATAGGTAAAATTATAAAGAGAGAAAATGTTACTTGAATTAATGTTAAATAAAAAAATATTTTATCAATAAATATAGTCGACCAATCATGGTAATTTAAAATGTAAAAAAAAAAAAGAAAAGGGTTGTTAAAACCATAAATTATAGAAAAATTTCACATAAATAATAAGTCAATTTGTAATTTTAACTTGGATTTATATTGGTTAAATAAATGTCCCAAGTATTTATTCGATTATTTGAATTATGCTAATCTTAGTCTCGCCTTTTATCTTTTTTATCTCATATCTCTCTAACACATAGGTTTCATAATTGCGTTAGCCAACTTCTTTGCAAAAGTATATTGACATTTTTCACTTGCTTCAACTGCATTATCTCTACTTGCCCAAATGCATGTCGAAAGACATTCTTGATTTTGATTGAATTCACCGGACCAATACTTTAAAGTCATAGAAATAATATAAATGGTGATAAATTACAAATTTAACTTATAAATATTAATAGTTAATCTTTACCTTAAGCAATCCTTCATGATTTTCCGCTTTATGATAAGCTCTTTTTTTAGCGTCAGACAATAAATCAAAATTAGCATTTACGCTTCCAATAGATTGAAAAGCAACAAAATACCACTCTCCTTTGACATCCTTTATGTCAGCAGCTATTTCATTCCAGTTAAAAGATGTCTCAAGAGGTTTTTTTGTATAATTTGAATCAACTTCTTTAAGCTTTTCAAGTGCTCGAGAAAACTCTTTATTTGCGAATTCTTTTTTTCTAATTTTATCTAGTTTATGATACTTCAAAGTCTTTTTCATTATCATTAAAAGTTGGTATTCAAATGCCAGTCATTTTTAGAGATTCAATGCAGATAAATCCATCATCTATTTATCCATATCTGAGTTATCCGGATAATTCCAGATAGGCCAAATATCTGGATAATCCAGATAATCTAACGGATATTCAGATAATTATCCAGATATCAATAGTAAATGGATATCTGGATAAATTTTGGATAGCAGATATCCGGATAACAGATAATGGATTGAAACTCTAGTCATTTTTATTCTTTGTTTTATTAAAAAAAGGTTTTTAATGTATTGACTTGTTCATAAAATAATTACAGTATTAAATAAATTTTGATTAAATAAATTTTTTAATTTCTAGTACTTGCAAAATTTGAATTCAATTTGCTATTAATTAAATTCAAGCAGTACAATTACATATTGAATTTAATTTTAGCTTTCATTTTTAAAATGCACTTATTTAAAAGAAAATTATAAATTTAACAATACAAA